CCGAATCCAGAGACGTGCTTTCCCCTGGGCGGCGCGGTCCTGGTCCTCCAAGCTGGGCGCCCCCCCACCCAGCCCGCTTGGGCGCCCCGAGGGAACCGGTTTCCGCGAGCCGGGGACCCTCGCTGAGTCCTAGTGATGGGGAACCTTTTGAGCTCGGCGTGTCAGCATTTTGAAAAACCCTAACTTAACTCTGGTGCTGTGTCACATATAGAAATTTTTTGATATTTGCAACCATAGTAAAACAAAGACTTATATTTTTGATATTTATTTTATATGTTTAAATGCCATTTAATAAAGAAAAATCAACCAAAAAATGAGTTCGCGTGTCATAGGTTCGCCATCACTGGCCCCTGTTCTCCGCTTAAAGGCGGCGGCCGCCAGGTGGCGTGAAAGACAGCCGCTCGGGCCTCGGAGACTGGGATGGGATGCGGAGACGAACCCGCGTCATCTCTTCCCACCCAAATCCCTTGCAAGGACACCGAGGTTCCCTGTATTCGGCCTTCAGCGCCCTGGTTGCGGGCTCTCTAGTGGTTAGACCATGTCCCCTGTCATTAGGGCTGCGGGAGGGGCTCAGGGACGGGAAAATGGACAGTTGGTGTAACTGCAGGAGAAAAGGATCTGAGACAGGTTTCCCAGCGTGGTAATTATGAATTATTAGAATGATAAAAGTCAACTACGAATGAACGAGCAGAGGCATGCTCCAGGCCTACGGCTGCGGAGATTTCTGATCTGTAAAGGCCCTGACAGTGATGGGGGCTTGCCTCCCTGTCACTCTCCGAAAAGGGCTGTGCCACACAAGCGACTCACCGGACTTCTCTCATCAGGACTCCCTCGGCCTATACCACGAAGCTAGGGAAGGCAGGGAGGGACAGCTTCTAGCCCAGGGTTATCATGAACTAGTGATACCTTAGATAATTTAGAAGATGAAAGGACAGGGCATGTTCTAGGAGCTGGCCCAGCAGAGACTGCCTCAGAGAGGTCAGTGTTGAACACACTGCCGTTGGAATCAAGGACAGGACACACATGGAGGGCTGCAATCTCCCAGGGAGACAAATAACAGAAAGATCCTATGTTTACGTGGGTGATGGTACGTGGATTTAGCCAGAAAAGGTGTCGAGATGTGTCTGCGGAGGCTGGAGTGGAGAGCAAGGACAAGGGCACTTCCTGCCTGGTTGGGGATGGCATCAGAGAGGCAGTATCTGTGAGGGATCCATGGGAGGTAAGGGCAAGGCAGGTTGTGGAGCCTTCTGAAGCCAGTCAGAACTGTTCCTTCCAGGGTTGGGTAGGGGTGGGCACTATAGA